CTCTCTCTATAATTTGTCCCTCCTTGGGCTCAGCTTGGCCCAGTTGGTTCAGGGCTCGGACCCTGCTGCCTACAGTCTCTCAGCCCTGGGCTCCAACCCCACTGCACTGGGACTTTGCCTGTCCTCAACACCGGCTCCCCCTGTGCGGTTCTGGCCCCTCTCGATACTGGCTTTCTACCTGGGGATCAGCCCTCTCTGGCTCCAGTTGCTTTAAGGGCTAAATTTGTGGCCTCCATCCTCCCCTACAGCCATGCCCAGGCCTCACAGATGTTTCGTCAGTGATCTTTGGGTCTTTAGGGGCCTCATCCCTCTTGGCTTTAGCCCATCGTTGTTCTGGCTGCAGGCCTCCAGCCCTGGCCCACTTGTTCTGGCTTGATTTTTTTTGGCCTCCACCTTCCCTGTATCTCAGTCCCCAGGTTCCCCAGCTCTGTCCCAGGGTTTGTTCCAGCCCCTTGGGGTCCCGGACCCTGGCAAGGTAGCTCACAATTTATCCTAGCTCCCTGGCATCCCTGACCCAGGTGATGCTGCTGACAGGTGGGCCCAGCCAGCCCCCACCCAGCATCCCTGGCCCAGGCAAGGCTGTTCTCAGTCTATCCCAGCCCCTACCCACCCCCTGGCATCTTTGACCCAGGGCAAAGCTACTCCCCATGTAACCCAGCCCCCTGGCACCCCTGGCCCAGAACAAGGCTGCTTTTGCTTTGTCGGCCCCTAGCCCTTGAACTGGGCTAAGTCCCTTGAGTACCTGCCTCTGCAGGGCCACCGTCTTCTGCCTCTAAACTGATTGTCTTTAGCCTCATGCAGCCTCCTGGATCCCAGATCTGGGAAGGTCTTTATTTGGGCTTCAGGCTCCCCTACCCTGGGGTACTTTTTACGCACCCCAACCTGTGGCCTCCACACCACCCCCACCAGCTGCACACATTCCTCTGTGCCAGCTCCCATGCACTCATAAGCCCCTGTTACCAGACTTAACGCTAGGCTTTAGGTAATGGCACTGAATTCATAAATGCTTGAACAAGAATAGCCTGCTCCTTGAAGAGAGCGTTTATCGAGCACAGCAATTTGCAATTTCAAGTATGCGACAAGGGACAGAAAAAAAACAACTCTGCCTAAGCTAAGACACAGGCGAATAAGACACGGCAACAACACACAACTTAGTCTAACTTAAAATACAACATAATAAGCTAAAAAGACAACAGAAAGCCTTGCATGGGGCTTGCATAGTCCTAAGGGCAGCATGGCTCCTTGCAGCCAGATATTCAGAAGGTCTTTCTAGGAGATGCACAGGTCTCCTTAGGTGGTGAAGGCAGTCCCACGGGCCTCGTCTTTGCCTGGATTGTTATAGGGATCTGCACCCCCTTCTCCTCCTTGGGCCCTCACATGTCCCATGTCTCTCATGCATTCAGCATTGCTGTCTCTTGCCGGTTCTTAGGTATTTCAGTCTCTCCCCCTTACAGGTTTTACTTGAAATGCAAGTGTAGTCCCCTGCCTTCTTCCCCTCCCCTGCTACCTCAGGTCACACACTTAACATCTGTCATGGTAGCTTCAGCCCACACTTGTGATGACTGTGTCAGGTCTTGGGCTCTCGGGGTCCCAGCAACTCCGACCCTGTAGCCACCGGCTCTTGCAGCTTCCCCAAAAACCAGTGTTGCCACCCAGGCCATCAGGTAATCCACTCCCAGCAAGAGTCGGGGCCAAACTGAGCTCCCTGGCTGAGGGACTTCAAAGTGGGTCGTGAATATGACTCCTCCCTGGGTGATCACCCTGTGACGCTCGTTGTAGGCAGGTGCCGGAAGGTGAAGGGAAGTTACGCAGGAGACTCCAGCCCCAGAGGGGTCCAAATCCACAGCCCCTGCCTCCAAGGACAGTGCCCGAACCACCAGACTACCAATGAGACCCAGGTAACTTAGCCTGGTGCTAGCAGTGCCCCCAAGCCCCATCTGGGCATTCACCCTGGCAGCTTGTGCCTGCAATGGGATGTTGCTGCTATCCTCATGTTCTCACTGTCTTGCCAAGAGTCATTGAATCAGAGACCCTTGCATAGTCTAAGGAAATAAAACTCACTGCGAGGGTGCATACCGTGATCTGCCCCTGGGATGCAAACTCAGGGTAGCATAGCGTATCAGAGCTACCCTCTGGCATCTGGAAAAGTCCCTTTGGAGTGGGGAACACTGCAAACTTGTTCTGCTTCCTGCACCAGGCTGATAGTCTACTTAGGAAGAGCAGGGGTGAGACTCTATCAGCATTTCATAGCAGCAGTGGGTGCTCAGGTCACTTGTGGCCTGGCGTTAGGTGCTGGAGTTTGAAACTCGGAGCCTCTTTGTCCACTGAGGGTGCATATTGTCATTCAGAGAGTGGGAGGTCCTCACGCCCGCCAAGGCTTAGTATGGCACCTGGCACAAGTACGCTCCATACCCTGGCAATGAGCCCCACGCTTGGGAAGGAAGATCCTGATGGCCCCTCCAGGGGAAAGAGAATAGGTGGGGAGTGCGGGGGCTGCTCTGGAGGGAGATGTAACACAGGGACCTGCTCCCCTGCAACTCGGGTCTGTGCCGCTGCAGAATTGGGGTAAGGGAGAGATGAAAACCAGGCCAGTGGGTCTGCGCAGTCAAAGGGGAGCCTGGGCCCATTGGCCAGGAGGCTGCAAAAGGGCTCGTGCACCCTGAGCTGCCTTGGCCAGCCTCCGTGGAGATGCAACCTTTTCCTAAGGAGGTGCACCTCACGCACGCCAGGGGCCTTTCTGCAACCCTCACCCCCATGTGGACCCCCATTGATGCAAAAGGGGCCATTCGAGCTCTCAAAATCTGGGTGACAGGGTCCAGGCCTCACAAGTCCCGTGAGGCATCTCCACTACACACGCCTGTCTGAGCCCCCGTGGGAGGTAGGACACCCATTTTGCAGAACAGGGCCAGAGGCACAGAGCCCCAAGTCCTTGGGGGGAAGCAGGCACCCAACTCCTCCTGCTCTACAAGCCAGTGGGAGTGAGGCACCTGCCCCAGGGTGTTGAGGGAATTGGCAGGGGTGATCGTGGGGCCCCTGGCATGGCTGTACGAGCACTCGTGGTGCTCTGGTGTGGTGCCAGAGGACTGGAAGAGGGCCACTGTGGTCCCCATCTTCAAAAAAGGGAGGAGTGAGGACCCAGGCAACTATAGGCCCGTTAGTCTTACTTTGATCCCAGGGAAGCTCTTTGAGAAGATTATCAAGGAGCACATCTGTGAAGGGCCAGCAGCGGGGATGATGCTCAGGGGCAACCGGCACGGTCTCATTAGCGGCAGGTCCTGTCAGACCAACCTGGGGGCCTTCTACGA